TTTTTTTTTTTATATTTTTTTTCTTCTTCAGCAATAATGTGGGGCAAATAAGTGTTAGTAGTGTTTTTCTTATTTTCTTTTAGTTAAAATGTTCTTCACTCGTTTGTTCTACCTATTCCGTTAAAAAAAAAAAAACTCGTATTCCTAGATTTCGTTCGTTACTTTGTTTCCTTTAGAATATTTTTGTCGCTAAACGTTCTTTGTTTTCCAGTCCATTTGGCAGATTTAAAATAAAGAAGGAAAGAAAAGGAGAGAAAAAAGAAAAAAAAAAAACCCATCGAAAGAAAACAAAAAAAAAAAAATAACCTAAAAAAAAAGACCCTCAACTACCAGCACTAATAAACAATATTGATATCATCAGTAATGGCTCAAGAAAAACGAAGAAAAAAAAAGACACATCTTAGCGAATAAAAATAAATAAAAAAACAAATAAATAAATAAATAAAAAGACACATATAAGCCAATATTGGTGGCGAGGTTAAAGAAATAAAATGATGTTTCCATCTGTATTTGTATCTATTCCATACAAATGGCGTTACCACGACACATCTTGCATCGTTTAAAGATTTACTCACATAATTTACCACAACAAAAATCTTAGTCCTACTTATACCATAAAAAAAAAAAACAGAGCAGAACCTCAAAAAAAGAAAAAAAAAATAAAAATGGTTAGATGCTAAACACATATTAAAAACTGAGGAAAATGGAAGAGTGCTGAAAAGCCCCTTTTAATCCGCCTCCCGTTCGATGCGGAGAGGGTTGGGTTAAGTGGGTTTTTTTTCAGAAACTTACAAATTGACAGACTGTAAAAGAGTGAAAAGGAAACAATTTTTTTTTCTTCTCAAACGTTTAAAAGCCCCAGTACATAATTTGCTCCCTAATAATGAAAAACTTGATCTTTCCTTTCGCAAGTTGTCAAAGAATTCATGAAAATAAATAAATAAACAAATGAACAAAAGAAAAAAAACAGGCACAAACAGACAAAATCAGAGAGAGATATATTTTGGTACTTAATAAAGAAGCTCACACATAAAATATACCTAAATCCCTCTACAGCGTCAAATAAAGTGCACACAAACAAAATCATTAAATAAAGAATGACCATCATTGATTATTAGTAATAACAATGACAATAGAACCTCTAATTGTTTTTTTCTCTTTCTTTCTTTCTTTTTTTTTTTCCATTTATGTATTCTGAAAAACAAAGCTGTCGAGGACAGCAAGTGCACGCAGACTACTGTATTCCAATGAACCATCCTTATCTAGTCGCGTGTAGTATCGCATTGTTGGATAGGCGTTTACATTCATACGCTTAACCACATCCGGATACTTCTCTCCATTAATCTTTGCAGCCACAAAAGTATCAGCATTCCGCTTTGTTGACTGACTAATAGAGAGATCATCCCACAATTTATCCATTGTGGTGCACAGCCTTGACCACGGCACACAGTAGAGCACGAATACATCTTTACTGGGATCCATCACAATAGAATCAAAATTGGCATCTGTTAACTCCACCACACGACTGGGGCGCGGTTTGTCCTCCAGATAAGAAGTACCGCCAATGGCCATCAACTGCAGCAGCAGAAGTAACAGCAAGAGAACAGGCCGTAGAGATGCAGCCAACTGCATTTGTGTATAGGTGGGGTAAGAGTGCTGTTTGGAATAGAAAAAATATATATATATATATCACTAGAGAAGAAAAAAAAAAAAGAAAAAAAGGAAAAAAGAAAAGAGATATTAAAATAAAACCATATTACCAGAGAACCTCTAGAGCAACAAAGCAACCATTTTGCTTTTTCACTCATCCAATCATACCCCTTCTTTTTTATTGCAAGGAATAACGAGCTTTCCAGACCCTCCAGCATTCTTTCCACGTTCTTCCTTTTTTTTTTTTTTTCTTCTTCCTCTCCCCATTCCGTTCCAAAACAAAAACGAAGGGAAAAATCATTATCACAACGAACAGCAAGATACACCAGAGAATAAAAAAAAAAAGAGAGAGAGAGAGAGAGAGAAGGGGGGAATAAAATTCTTGCATCAGAAAACGTTTTTTATTTTTATTTTTTATTTCTTCACCACTGCAAGTATGGAGAAGAAAAAAAGAAGCAACAAAACACGACAGGATACACCGCATGATGTAAAGAACGAAAGAAAAACAGCATTAGCACCAATAGCAATACTCCGTTGAACGAAAAAAAAAGAACAATAGATAAAAAAAAGGAAAGTAAATATATATATATATATAAATATATATATCTTTTTTTAAACAAAGAACGAAGAGAAGAAATTTACAAAGAAAGAAACAACACACAAAAAGTACCATAAGAGAAGGGAAATGGAAAACAAACAAAAAAAAAAAAGAAACTACTTTGAAGTCTACTTGGTTAGGTTTAATTCTACTTTTATTACCTTTGTAGTATTTCCATAACTCTCTCTCTCTCTCTCTCTCTTTTTGGGGGGTTTGTTTGTGTCTGTATGTGTGTGTCTCTCTCCCCTTTTGAGAACATAGATTATGGTTGTAGTCCATTGTTACATCCACTCTCTCTTTTTTCCCCTTATTTTTTTTTCTGCTTGCATACACATCATAGTTAATGGACTCCATAATGTTGAAAACAACACGCAGACACGCACACACACACACACACATACGTACACATCAAGAAAAAAAAATGTGATAGTAAAAAGAGTAAAAACGTAAAAAAAAAAAAAAGGCTTACATGATCTACCCACGAGTACCCGTATGTCACCTAGAGCACAAATCCAGGCGCCTAAAATGACCAAACGAGTCTAGAACTTCACATTTATTGCCCCTTCTTTCCTTCTCTTTTTCTAACCATATATATATATATATATATATATATATATATGTATATTATATATAAATATATATATGTATATGTATATATATATTCACAAACACATACCATTCTCTCCACACGCATCATTCTTTTTAATATGCGTACTTCACACCACACATTGCTAATAGGAACAGAAACAAAAAAAAAAGCCAAGAGGTTATTTGTTTAGGTGGAATTTGTAATCTGCAAACATAACACCACGTGGGTCTACTTCTCGTACGGCGTTATGTTCATCAAGCCGCTGTTGTACGTTGCCGTCCTCAATCTCTGGAAAGTACTGTGTATCGAGAGGGTTAGCGAGTTGTGGGATGTATGCTGCTTCCATCTCTCGTAAGTGTGCCCAATCAATACCTTCAAAGAATCGATGTGCCTTTAAGGCTTCAAAATCGAGTCGTTCCTTTGGGTCACACATGAGGTGTTGCATGAGATCGACGGCGTCATCTGGAACGCCTCTGTCTGGTGGATACACGAGGTATTCTCTCCAGTGTGTAATTTTGTAGCAGGTGGTGCTTGGGTCCTGTGCGAAGAAGGGTGGAATCCCGTAGAGCATTTCGTACATGATGACGCCCACGGACCACCAGTCGCACTCGACGCCGTACCGCTGGCGGAGGAGGATCTCCGGGGCGATGTATCCCGGGCTGCCGACGATGGACTCGAAGAGGCGGCGGTCGCGGGGGTGGGCGACGGCGGCGGGGGGGTCCGCGGGGTCGGCGG